CGATCTTTGTATTAATAATTATAACAAACTAGTGGAGTAATTTCACAAAAAATAATTGAATATCAATTCAATAAAAATTTAATTTAACCAAAAAGTTTTGTTTACTTTTTGTTGAAAATGGATTGGAAAAAACTTTAGTATTATATCTGTGCTTATATAAATCCTGCAGAATACAACCTTGCTTTTCGGGCAAATTGAGGTTGCATTTATAAACAAATAGCTTTATTTAAAATGTAGGAGACCTTGATTGCATTTACGCATCGGCAGCACGGCTGGTGCCACATTGCGGCCGTGACCCAAGCACTTGGTGACATCTTTAAGTGTGTACTGAGAATCGCACGTCTGTTCGATTTTAATTCTTTATTAGTAGCTTCAAAGCTCCTTGTAAAAGAGTTCGTCCAGGTAAGCACTGTCACCATATTTATTTGACTCCAGTTATGAAGGGTACTGGTGAGATTATTGGCACATGGGACTCGTCAACTTATTTCTCAAGGGTATATACAAACCATATTTACGTTGAAAACTTGTAGGTTCTCTGCTTTCTGTAAGGAGACTGGTATCATGACTGTGGTATTACAGTACATTTACTCAAATATTTTATATGCCCGTAAAAATATATCCATCATTTTTACGGGCCTTATAAGTAAGTCCAACTCATGGTACCACGATTTCGTAAATAAGATTCCGGAGAATATATTAAGATTATCATTTCCTAAGTTTAAAACTTACATTAAAAGTATTTGTTAAAAAAGATGTGTGAAAAGACAACAAGAGTCTAGATTCCACACAAATTTGATTCAAAGTGTTTCAAAGTTTATTTGAAAAGAGCGATCGCTAGAGTTTCTTGCTCGTTCTAATCAGGGAGGTTACAAGTGTTAAAAATATTACCTATGGAACAAATGATTATTCGACTTTAGACTTTGATTTTGAGGATAGCCGGTGCAGTGGCTGTGTATGTCTTTGCATTTGAACCTTAGCGTGTTGGATTTTACTGTTACAAATTACAGGCACATGGGACTTGTCACCTTATGTCTCAGGGTGACGGGCGCAGTGGCAGGCCCTCTCAGATCTTTGTGATTCAAAGCTCAGAGTGACACTGCAACTGTTAGGGGTAGACGTGTCGCTTAACACCAGGCTCACGACTCGTTCGTCCCGTCATATAGTATCATAAAAACTGCCTTACCCATTGACTTACAAATAAATGGACGACGGGTCTAATACAAAATCCACGAAAAAAATGTCCCAAGTCAACCTAAAACCTAAACCTTAAACGTAGTGACATGTAAAGGAATATGAAAAAGCTTTTAAATTGTAATGTCATCGCAGTACTGTCTAATTTTGCTTGCTTCGCTGTCAGTGAACAAACGAAGACTAAAGCGTGAATGACGCTCTGTATACGATTTTAAAGCCCTATAAGTTCGGACACTTTTTAGCGCGAACCCGACGTCCATATAATTGTAAGTCAATGGCCTTACCTTAAAGATATCACATAAGCTTCAATGAATGCTGATTTTTATTTAAATTTCGAAGCAGATGGCGTTTACTGTACTTGGAAACGAACAATCATGACACATGATTAATTATTTTTGTTACGTACATTAAACTGTTTTCAAGCACTTCCTATATCACATAAGTAATGAAAGTTAAAAAAGTAAAGATATTACCTATTTTCCGCCTTCCTTTTTTCTGGTAGGACACAGATTAGGAGAAAATTGAATTCAACCCTATATCAACTTCCATTATGACGTTCCAAAGTCATAATAGTAAAAGACGACCTCTGTGGTCCAGTAGTTTGCACGCTTGTTTTCATGGTGTCACCATCTCTGAAATCCCAGGTTCGATTCCCAGCCGTGTCAAAGTAGAAAACTGACTGTGCTATATTGTCTCATGTGTTCGTGGTACCGTCGAATAACACAAGTGCGTTAGTTACTTACTTTGGCATCGGAGAAATGTATGTGACGTTCTAATTTTTAATTGAAATCCTCCTTTTTTGAAGTCGGTTAAAAATAGTTTAATTTACAAAGTATATCTGTATTTTCGAATTAGTATCAAGGAAAATGTTAGACGAGTTCAAATGACGTGTTAGAAAAACAAAAAAAAACAGAATTAATCTTCCTGAATCGTTAACTACGTTATTTATTACTGTTGTTGTTTATTTGTTTAACGTTGTTTGTGCTTGGATTAAGGTCAATTTTGAACACGAAGGATGACCCGAAATAAATATGACATTCTTGATCGCAATATTTGTATTTGATTGCATCATTTTGAAGAGATCGAGAAGTATGAGACAAAGCCTAATATTATATGCCAATTTACGTCATATAAATGTATTTATCGGATATAAGTCGCGTATTTTAGCATTTTTTAACCGACTTCAAAAAAGGAGGAGGTTCTCAGTTCGACTGTATGTTTTTTTGTATGTATGTTACGCGATAACTCCGGTATTTGTAAACCGATTTTCATGATTCTTTTTTTTGTTGGAAAGAGGGTACCTCCATAGTGGTCCATTTAATTTTAAAGAAAATCATCCACCTCTAAGGGTGGCTGTTCACGCATGAAGATTCATTTTTATAAATAGCGCCTAAATTTTATTAAACAAAGCAATTATTTTAATGGTTGATTTTGCTATTCTCCAATTCGAGGCGTTTTTCTCTTTTAATGTACTTTTTTCAAACAAAGTAACCTCTCAGGCCCATCATGTGTCATTCCACCGGATGGAACATGCCGATCCTTGTTTCAAAGCCTTGGTCTGTTGCCACTACCATCATTATAAATATACCATCATTATATATGTGTATATATATACATAAGACTTTCAGGATGCTGTTGGGACTGCCAAAATGGTATAGTGCAGTTGCGAGGCGTGAAAAATGGCATTAGCGAAGCCGGAGCAAAACAAAAAAATGGCGCCTTGGCGACATTTCAACACAAGTTATTAGCCCATAAGGTGTTGCGCACATAAAAATTATAAAATTATTTTAAAATATTTATAATATAATAATATTGAATAATACGTGGCAAATTTGCATGTGTGCATCAGTGTATGTTCGCAGAGGCATAAGTAGACGTCTTCCAATGCTTGATGCAAAGAAAATGCAGACTTTTTGTGTTTCTTGGTCCAATTTTGTATAATAAATTAAACGCCAAACTGGCCATTTTTGTTACATAAAGGTTAAGAAAATTCTCCAATAATTTCTTCAAAATACGATGATACAGAGAATTTAAGCGTAACAGGTTATGATTTGCATTGCATTGTTTAATTATTATTATTGTTTTGTTTATATTTCAATATTTTTTTTGTTTATAATTTAAACATCATATATTCTGCATAATTAATATTTTTTATTAGATTCTCTTAGTTCAGGTATATGTGTTATATTTTACATTTATTTGCATAATTAGTCTTTAGTTTATTCATTTGTACAATACGTTATTCAATAAACAATTTTATTTTATAATGCGGAAGAAAATAATATCCCAGGTTTGATTGTCCAATTCTAAAATACTGGGTTAGGCAAATCAAATCGGTTTTCATATATATTAAATAAATAAATATTATATCGTGTCGTTGTGTTCTGTATACTAACCTATTGTAAGTGAAAATGTTACTAACAAATTATAACGGTCTATTCCTGAAATAAACAATTCTATTCTATTAATAAAGCCTGTGATGTGAATATTAGACTGCAGAAACCCGAATAGACTTGTACTTGACACTATTCCTATGACTGCTAAATATAGTAAAAGTTGTTTGAAAATATGTGTTTGACATATATAATAAAATTATTACACTTAAGTTTATTTAATTTTATTGAAAATAATTTTTATGAACTAAACGAAATATTTGACAGGAAACAAGTTGTAAGATTTCATTACGGCGAGTTGTGGAATGCACACGTGTGGATGTCGTAATTAGTTTATAACTGTTTTTATATATATAATTATTAGTGTAGCTTAATTTTTAAGTACGTAGAAATTCTGTATTTGGTTACAGATGAACTCACTAGTATAGAGAGATGTGTGTTACGTAAATTAATGAATGAGTCTCATCAGATCATTCTTGACTAAATTATACCGGATACATACATATTATATACAGAGTATACCGGAACATATATTAAGATTAACGTTTCCTAAGTTTGAAAAGTATTTTAATTGAAAAGTCATATTACATAATTGAAGACTACGTGTTAGATAAAGATGTATGGAAATACAATGCGAGTCCAGATTCCACACAAATATGATTCAAAATGTATTCCATAGCATTTAAGTTTATTTGAAAAGAGCAATCCCTAGAGTTTCTTGCTCGTTCTTCTCAGGGAGGTCAGCGTAGTGAACGAGCAGTAGCTTAAATGTGACGTTTTCAAGTGTACATTTATTTTAACTATGGAATAAATGATCTTTGACTTTGATATTTCAGCTATGCGTCGTTAGGGTTAGTTCCGATAAGTCAAACACGTTAACTAATTTTAACTGTTTTTAAAAGAAAATTTTGTGCTCTATCTTTTGCTACTTAAAATGGATATTTGACTATTTGTCACTTCGCCACGTTTTAGTTAGTGGACGGCAGAGTACTTCCCTGGACGAACTCGTTTACGTGGAGCTCTACTGCTGTTAAATGCTGATGATGACGTTGAAATCGTTTAACTACATTAGTCTCTGCTAGAAACTATACACTGCCAAAACCATAACCCTCATTTCGACTTCGCCGTAATCGGATAAAGGGGTACTAATAACAAACCACTCAAATTGAGAATACGCGTGCTTTATTATGATTACATTTTGTGTTAAACCTACAACGAACTTGTATGTAAAGACGCTTTAAAGTCAAGGGCGTTTAATATTGAAGCTATATAAGCCTGTACGCAGACGTGCGCGCGGTAGTCTCCAGTGTGAAACCGGCTTTAGACATGGTGAGTGGCTGTGTTGTGATAGTGGCTTGAAAAAGGACGGAAGAGTGTTTTTTTGTTGTTATTTTAGTAATGTTGTGAACGGCTTTTATTTACACCATATAACACGATTTGAAAGTGATGGGACGACCAAGTAGTGCGCCTGATGGTAAACGACACGCCTGCCCATAACAGTAGCAGTGCCACTCAGAGCGTTAAGCCGCAAAGATCTGAGGTGCACTGCCTCTGCGCCCATCACCCTGAGACATAAGTTAAAAAGTCCCTTGTGCCTGAAATTTCAACAACACCTAACCCTTCAAGACCGGAACGCAGTAATGGTCACATTACTGCTTGGCGGCAGAAATGGGTAAGGTTGTTAACTCTTTCACAAGGAGCTCTACTGCTACTAAATTTTCTAAGTGGTTCTAACATAAAAACATCAAAAAAACATAATTTCCATGCAAAAACTTTACACTTGTGGTAAGAACAATGAAAAGTTCAAATTTGCGTACAATTAAGGAAACGTACAAGTTTCGAGTGGCTTGCACGTCGGTTTTCAAAGTGCCGCCATCTCCGAGTTCCCAGGTTCGATCGCCAACCGGATCAATGAAGAGAGTTAACTTTTCTAGCATTGTCTGGGTGTTTGTGGTACCGTCGTTTCCGATTTCCATAGCACAGTTGCAATGTGATGTTGTTGTACTTGTTAACCGACTTCTATCGATAACTCGTAAAAAGGTGGGGCATATGTCCTCTCACTTGAAAAAACAAATTGTAACGGGATCAGAAAAATATACATAATTTAATTAAGAAGGAAGATTGATTCATAATATTAACTTTAGTACTAAGTCCAAACTCAAGGTACCACGATTTCGTTTAACTAAGGTAAACGATTTTTTTATGGGGAACTGTATACGTTTTTACAATAAGATTCCGGAGAATATATTAAGATTTCCGAGTATTTTAATTGAAAAATATTTGTAAGATTAAAATGTATGGAAAGACGACATGGCTCCACATTCCACACAAATTTGATTCAAAGTGTATTTCATAGCATTTAAGTTTATTTGAAAAGAGCAATCCCTAGAGTTTCTTGCTCGTTCTTCTCAGGGAGGTCAGCGTAGTGAACGAGCAGTAGCTTAAATGTGACGTTTTCAAGTGTAAGTTTATTTTACCTATGGAATAAACTAGAAAAAAGAAATAGAAAAAAAATACCTTTTTCGTTGTCCTCACTAAAAAAAGCAAAGTTTGAAATAAAGTTTTTTAAAGGGAGATATAGCTTTTTCATGTTTTAGATCCAATCGAAAAAGGATATTGATGACTCAGAAACAAAAATCGTGTTATTTGGTAACGAAGCCCGCTTGTCGCTTCGCGTATCACCCGGTGCTACCTAAAAGTTCATCAAATGTCACCCGAAGCATTTGACCCGGCTAGCCCTTGAGCGTAGAAAGGAGCCATTCTAATGCCTGGGAATTTGCCTAGATTTCGGCCTAGATTTAGTTCTCACGCTGCCTTTGTCAGGTACAAGTGTAAGTGGTAGGTCAGTTCGCCTTGTATTCCAAGCGTTGCAGTATTTGTTATCATTAATAAAAATATCATTACGAAGCCGCGTTGATTGCCACGAGATCCTCGAATTTTTATTCCACTTATGTAATATAAGATAATGACATGGGACTTGTCAACTTATGTCTCAGGGTGACAGGCGCAATGCCAGTGCCCCTAAAATCTTTGCGATTTAAAGCTCTGAGTGACACTGCCACTGTTATAGACAGGCGTGAGTCGCTTACCACCAGGTGCACTTATTCGTCCTGTCATTATTAATCATCAAAAAAATACATGTTCTACTTTTGGGCAAAGGTTCTTTCGAAAAAGAAGCTATAGAGCAGTTTCCCGACGTGGCCGTTGAAAAGTCCTAAGGGGTAGGGGCCTCGGTAGCAATTAGGGGCTTTGATGCTGTCGCATTTGAAAAAAAAAGGAACCTAAATTACCTATATTTCAACTGCCTCCATGGCCGAACGGTTACCATGCCGGACTGCCACGCTGAGGTCCCAGGATCGATTTCCGGGCCGGGAGAAATATTCGTATGGCCTACATCTATTTCTCTCGTGACTTTGGGTGTTATTTGTGGTTGTTTAAGGTTGTATGTGGGTTTCCCTAGTGAGGCTATGTGGAAAGTGTGTGTTATATACATGTTATATAAATAAATGACCTATATAAACTAATCTAAACTAAAAAATCTGATTTTATGTGATAAGTTAATGTAAAAAATACGTGTTTTCAATTATTTATTGTGGACGTTGAATTTTTTTTTTGCCTAAGTGGTGATCAAAAAGTTTGGGACCCTATGCTGTAGAGGATAAAAATCAAAACATTCTTTATTTCGTACATAAGCAAATTATCACTAATTCGCAGGACAGATTCCTCGGAGAAGAATGAATAAGAAATTAAAACGGCTGTAAAATTGAACTGCATTTTTAAAAGTTTTGCTGCAGTAAGGTTTTTATTTAACATTATATCAAGTGACGGGGCGAATAAATCGTACGCCTGACAAATAAGCTACACGCCTGTCCATAACAGTTGCAGTGCCACTAAGAGCTTTAAATCGCAATGATCTGAGGAACACTGCCACTGTGCCCGTCACCCTGAGACATAAGTTAACAAGTCCCATGCGCCCGTAATTTCACCAGCACCCTTCAAAACCCGAACACAGTAATTGGTAAGGTGGCAGTACTTACCCGGACGAACTCTTTCACAAGGACCTTTACTATTACTAAAATATCTTGGGTGCCGTGGACACACATAGACAACCAAAGATTACACCCAAACTCATGAGAGAAATAAAATGTAAGCCATATAAATCGACTAATCCGTAGAACAAAGATTTATGTGCAAGACTACTTGTTCTCAGGACATAGTACATTTCGTTCGCTCTTCTTCTATGTGGATGTCAGACCGACTGTTGTTCGATTTTATATTTCCGAAACGGAATGAGATATTTAAATTCTCAAAACACTTTTACATAGGTCTTAGTTTGAATAAAGAAATTATCCTCGTAACGTACTTAGGGTCGTATTAGGTCGAACTCTATTCAATGCTCAAGTCAGGATTGCACTGGCAACATAAGCACTGGAAATACGACCCTAATGGCAGGGACTTGAGTATGATTTCTAGTGCTTTGAATCATACTCAAGTCCTGACTTAAGCATTGAGTAGAGTTCTAGAATGGGAACCTTAGTCTCTTTTCTGTTCTTCGGATAAGTCGAAATATTTCTCCCGGACCGGGAATCGCATCCGGGACCTCTGCGTGGCAGACCATCAAGGCACCCGTTCGGCTACAGTTCATTTCTCTATAAATATACATATAAAAGTTTCATTTTTTATCTTACAGAAACTCATCCTCCTAACCCTGCTGGTCGCGTTCGCCGTGGCTGACGTCTCCCATATCGTCCGCTCCAACTCAAACGACCGCGAAGCCAAGATCCTCAAGCAAGAGCTGGACGTGGGCCTGGAGGGCCAGTACCAGTGGTCCATCGAAACAGACAATGGCATCGCTGCACATGAGCATGGACAATTGAACAACGCCGGCTCTGTAAGTACACACCGCGAAGCCAACTACATAACAATAAATAACAAGTGCTTAGTTTGTGTTGCACGTGTTCCAACAGTACGCGGAATTCCGCATAGTTGAGCCCAGTCCGCCATGATCGTATTATATTATACTCTAAAGTCATAGAAAAATGCCTATCTATATACACACAACTGAGATGATATGAAATTAATAGAATTGAAGCCACTTTATAAACTCTTTGGAATAAACCTACCTTGAAGCAAGAACAGACTTAAAGTTTTACTGGAATCGGTGTCGTCGTCTTAAGGGAGTCGCGATACTCATAACGATGAATCGCATTAAGAGGGAGCAGAGGAAAAATTCCTAATCTTCGATTTGATTTTAGAGGGGTATATCCACTTTAAAGTTAAAAATAAAATATTGTATGAGTAACTACACGATATATTCAAGCATAGACATTAATCAGAAACATAAAACAATAATGACCTCTAATTTTCAAATTTTTTCGATTTATCCTCGAAATGCTACAGGTTATTAGGACAAAAATTACATAATTAATTATATTTATGCATGATCGAGAACTGTCACTACGGATTTTTTTAAATCCCTTTAGTTTTAGAGTTATTCCGCTAAAACGAATTTGGTACTTTTAATGCGCAAAATTCAACATCTCCTGTCGCATGCCACGCGAACTTCAGGCATATATTTGTTTCACAAATTTGGGCGGAGCCAACGTCAAAACTTTTTTGGCATGCTCCCTCTTAAGGTCAGAAAAGGTTAATGTCAATGAACGTAGAAAACGCGTTTCGCATTAGTTCCTACGAATGCGACTCGACAAAGGTCGGCAACGAATCTGCTTCGTGCGAATTTCGGATCGCGTCCGTACGCATGGCGACGACAGCCGCGTCAAAATGGCTTAATGCGATAAGTGTGGTCAAACACCATCGCATCAAGACGACTCCGCCATAATAAGTTTGGTGACTCTCTAAACGTCAAAGAACATCTCTACATGAGTAGTCTGTCTTTTTTGAAGATGGTGTAAAATGACATTTTAAATAATCATGTACTTGTTGTCGACAATTTTATCGATAGATTGTAAAATTTTGCCAAAAATGTCAGAATTGTGAATGTTACGACGTTCTAATGATGACTAATTGCGTTAATGTGTTATTTATTCTCATTTTCACAGTTGGTCTATTAGTGTCGAAAGAAATTTTGAGTCATGCACATTTAAATTCAAATGAAAAACTTTAAAATATGTCTCCTATTTGTGTTTTTATACACATACTCCTAAACTAAGTGTAGGTATGTACGAATTTAGAAAAATTAATACATCAAAAGAACCTGTGCCCACGTTGGACGTATAATTGACCGTTGATGATTCAAATGAAACGAGGTCAGCTGCAGTTAACTCTCTCCGTGGCCGAACTAGGTTCGATTCCCGGGCCGGGAGAAATATTTGTATGACCTACGTTTATTTCTCTCGTGAGTTTGGGTGTAATTTGTCGTTGTCCATGTGTGTGTCCATGGCACCCGCGACACGGGGTTTCCCTAGTGCGGGGCTATGAGTGTGTGCGCGTTATTATTATTATTAATATAATTTATTTCATAAGCCTAACCAACATTCAGTCGATAGTCGATAGAATATTTATCGACTGTAATCACTAGCTGTTTGCAAGCGGGCATCACTTTTACGCAATGAATTGTCTATAGCTTTTTTTACTTTTGAAATGTCGTCACTTTATAATTGTGGGTTGAATAACTATTTCGTTACAGGAAAATGCAGCCCAATCCGCTCAAGGTCAGGCCCAATGGACAGCTCCTGACGGTCAGGTGATCTCGCTTGCCTACAAGGCCGACGAGAATGGATACCAGCCCGAGGTATGATAATTCTACCGTAGTGATAATTGTTTAAGAACTACAGGTTCTTGTGAAAGATTTCGTCCAGGTAAGTACTGGCACCATATCAATTTTGATGGCATGTAGTAATGCCTGGCATTTATCAAATTATAAAATAAAAAAATATTGTATACGTTTACAAGTTTTTTGTTATCGAGGACAGCGAAGGAAACGGCGGTTTAGGTAGGAAAAGGTGTACTATTACAGAGGAAAAACAGACAGTAAAAACCAGCAGAAAAAGAAAGCACAGAGACAAGAAAAGGACATAGAGACAAAGAGCTAAACATAAGACTAATTACACATCCAAAAACTAAAAAGAGGGTCTGTCCTCGACAGTTGTCGTGTCTTTGTATTTGGTTTTTTCAACGACCTTTTAGCCGTAGCGCCATCTATGAGAAATCTTAAGTATTTCGTCACCCAGTTAGATACCTTTACAG